TTTGAGATCAATGTGCAGTTTTACTTCAATAGAATTAACCTGATCCACTACTTAAATGTTAGACATGTACGGAAAAAACATATAGAAATAATGAGAAAAAATAACTTGAATAAGCAAATCATTGCAATGTAAGTTTATCCTTTGTGATTCATGTCCACAGACTGTAGTAGATCTACAAACATCTATGCAGTCTATCCTAGGATTCAGAGAGAGAAGCTGAAATTAATGCAAAGCAAAGGACACTGGGGTGCACCCTGGGCATTATTAAAAATAGTGGAAGAACAAGCATAGGATCATAGAAAAGTAGGGTTGGAAGGGACCTCAAGAGGTCATCTAGTCCAACCCCCTGCTCAAAGTAGGACCACCCCAACTATATCTTCCCAACCAAAGCTTTGTCTAGCCGGGTCTTAAAAACCTCCAAGGACGGTGATTCCGCAACCTCTCTGGGTAGCCTCTTCCACTGCTTTATTAACCTCCTAGTGAGAAAGTTCTTCCTACTATCTAACCTAAACTTTCCTTGCTGCTACTTAAGGCCATTACTCCTCATTCTGTTATCTGCCACCACTGACAACAGTCTAGACCCATCCTCTTTGGAACCCCCCTTCAGGTAGTTGAAGGCTGCTATTAAATCCCCTCTCAGTCTTCTCTTCTCCATACTAAATAAGCCCAGTTCCCTCTCCTCAGAAGTGTGCCCCAACCCCCTAACCGTTTTTGTTGGCCTCCCTTGGATCCTCTCCAATTTGTCCACAAAGAAGTAATGGGCTACATTTGCAACTAGGGAGATTTATATTGGGTATACAAATAAGAACTTTCTAACTATGAAGTGCAGGATAGACAAACCTTTGTATGGCTAGTTTAGACAGGGATGTTTCTACCTTGAGCAGAGACTGCACTGAACCTCCTGATGTCCCTTCTAACCCCGTTTTCTATTATTTCGCTTTTAAATAAGTTCCTACCCCTAATGATCATAGAAAACACCTTTAAAAAGTGAAACCAAAGTCCTCGAAATTACAAGGTAAATAAAAAGGTAAAAGGCTTTTTTTTTTTTTTTATCTCACATTTTTTTGTATAATCTCATGTTTTGTGAATTGGGGACAATGATTGCATTTGGAATAAAACTGTAACTAGTGACTATTTTAGTGTCAGTAGTGGGTGACTGTCACTAGCTGAAAAATGGCAAACACCAGACATAATTCCTGATATGAGAATAGAACCTTTTGAGGGAAAGCAGGTAAATTTGTTGCATATCTAATTTTATATATATCTATATCTATATCTTAAGGGAGAACTCCAGTAGTGTGGCCTAAATTCATCAGCGAACATAAGTGCCGAAGTAGTGTAAATTGCACAACTGTGAAATACCAAACTGGCACCACAGGTATCCATTTAGTCTTCTGGGCGCTGGAGGGAATAGTGAGAAAACTGGGAAAATGGTATGATCAGTCAGAAAGAAGGAAATCCAGGGTTATGTAAAGGTGAATCTCCCACTGAAGCAAGATGTAAATGAAATTTAAATAGCAAATAAGCGCTGTGCACAAAAATGAATTTATCTCAGCTAGCATTCCTTCTTTATGTCCCTGCAGTGTTGGCTTGCAACACTCCTTTGCCTGTCACTCACATCTTTCTAAGGTACCCATCCACTACATTCATGTAGTTGCACAAGATCTGCTCAGAACAACTTGCAAGATGGGGCTCTAATTTTCCACTGTAATTAGATTGATGCAGCAAACAATTAGCTTACTCTTGGGTGCTTACTGCACATACAAGTTACCGAACTTTCTGAGGCAGTAGCTCTAAAATCTCATAAGTGCCCTGAAATGCACTTATCCATCTAAAAGTAGAGTTAGAGTTAGTTTTGAACCTTCTTGTTTTTGTAACGATGCTGCATTATATCCTTTGGACACAGTTTAAAAACACAACATTTAGCAACAGCTGTATTAGTCACAACATAACTTTAAACATCAAATCTTATGGCATGTATCCTACATATACCATATTGTGAGGAGTCGTGGTCCATGGAAAATCACTTATCAGATAATATACCTTCTCTACTAATATCCTTTTTCAAAAACACAAATAGTTTGACCTTAACAGTCTGGTTTCTTCTTTTTAGATGGCATGACATTTCTTTTTCATGGCATGCTCTCTTTATCCCACTAAGGGGAGAAGAAAAGCAGGTTAATGAGCTGAAAATATTCCATAAGCTTATTCTCGTTTAAATAATTTCATGTTATCATTATTCAGTTATTTGAATTTTGTGAATATGACCCCAAGGGATCAATTCATTGAAACAAAAAGGACAAAAGGCAAATCTTACTGCATGTTTCCATGCATGTGGTGTGCCCGGTTATTATATGTAGCCACCTAATGTGATAACATAATAACAAGTGCAAAAGGTTTAGTTATAGACACATTTACACAAAAAAAGGCTAGATGGGCACAGAAAGAAACATTTTTGTAAGTAGTATAGAACAGTGACAAAGTCACAAATGAGAGCTGCATGAATCCTAGTTTACTTGGATATAAATAAATCCAACATTTTCCTTCTCTCCATGGCAAAAATAAAATAAGAGCACAGCATTACACTCTCTCTCCTTTGAGAGACCAGTCCTCCTTTTCAATTACAGTCATCAATCTCTCCCCTCCAAAATATTTTCCCCTCACAAAACCAAAGAAAATCACCATTATCCTCCAAAACATGTGGCTACAAAATGATGCAAATAAGGATTTTCCTTGTTCTGGAAAAATATAAAAAAGGAAGCTGGCCTTTCTTCTTTAACAGGCATTTTATCCTGTACATGGAAAAACACTATACATTTATATAGTAATTTTCAATAGAAGATGTCAAACCACTTTTTTTAAAGACAGATAAATAACTTTAGAGGGGAGGAAACTATAGCACCAAAAGGTTAAAACCAAAATTTTCAAACCATTTCCTAAATTCAAGCATGTCTGTTTTTCAGTGGCCAACGAGAGACATGTAGGTCATCAGAATTAGTGGATATTTGAAAATACTATGCTAAATGTCTTGCTCCAGGTCACAAAACCAGCCAATATGCTACAACCACACATCCTGATTTCTAGAATAAGGCTTACTCAAGGCATGCTGGATTCTCTATCACTTGAAGTCTTTAACTCAATATTGGATGTTTTTTCTATCTAAAATATGTGTTCTAGTTCAATCAGGAATTATGAATTTAACATTTATAACTTACTTGATGCAATTCTATGGTTTATGTTATGCAAGAGGTCACATTATTATGATCAAAATGATCTCTTTTTGTCTTGCCTATAAAGTATTAAAGAACGCACTGTAAGGAACAATCTGGCAGAGAAATTGACTGCATCATTTAATAAGTCTTTCCATCTTCCTCATAAATGATTCCAATCATTAGATCGCATGGCCTCTTGTTATTTAGTGTACCATTAGATCATCTGGATCATAAAGGTACATTTAAAGAGGTCCATTTGATTTAGCTGAATAACTGAGACTCTAATCCTCTTCAGCATATTGTAGATCAGCACAGATTTATATACAGAGCTGAACACTGTCCATCAATTTGCTTGAAAAAGGCCAGACATTTAATTAAAGTGATAGCAATTTGAATAATTTGAGAAAAGCAATATGAAGGTTGTAAGGTGAGGTAACAAGATGGTGGAATTTTTGAAACGATAAAAAGTATTGGGACAATTCTCTATCTCTAAAGGTCAAGAGAGGGTCCAAGGACTGAACAACCATAGAAGCAGAACTACCTTCTAATTTGAGAAATGGGCCCAACAGATAAGAACTAAAGTATATTTCCCAAAGCATGATTAGGTAAGTTGAACTGCCCAAACAGAGCCTAACAACTGATTCAGGGGAAATACAGACAATTTCAGCTTTGTTTTTAATTTAAATATCTAGACATTTTTATTAAAAATAGTCCTTCAAAATGCAAATTGATCACTGCATTTCTTCTTGTTATTCACTATCCTCAAACCAGTTTTTGACCTAATTTCATTGCTCTAGTATATGAAATCCTTCCACATAAAAAATATCTGCACTAAAAATGATTATGTTCCATAAAATGTATTATAAGACATAAAAAGTACAAGAAATATTTTCAAGTATTACTTAACAATAGTCCTTGACTCAATCTATAGCTCCTCATTCCCTTTCAGCATTTTTTCAGAAAGCAGAAAATAGAATTACCACATGGGTTAAGACTTATGCTTACAGCACAGATGGTTAGTTTTCTCATAGGTTTATCACACTGTCCTAAACCAACAACGCAGAAGTAATACAGTAGTCCATGATTATTATTATTATTATTTTCTTTTTTTTATCAACAAGCAATTTTTTATTTTATTGTACCAAACAGGAGACATCCCATTTTTTCCACTCCATACTAATCCAACTAAACCACATTTTCCCCTGGGCGATATGCTAGTTTAATTTTATTTTCCCTGACATTCACCTGTCAGATTATGATAAATATAAGAAGCGAAATATAATTGTCATATTCTCACTGAATCTCATCATCAAGTACCTGGAAATATTAAATAAACTGGAAGAATGATCCTAAGGGAAGACATGAACACTGAAAACAGTCAGATACTCAAGCCATCTTCCAGTGACCAAGGATTCTAATACAGATTTAAAATATTCAGAAACAGAACCTATGTAGAAGGATCTTCACATTGCATTTGCTTTCTTCAGGTACTAGGGCACTAGAACTACAGTGAGGTAGAAGTGAGAATGTTTTTACAGAGTGAAGAAAATATATGTGAAAAGATAAGCATGATTCTTTAAAACTTTCCTATTTTGTGAAAGCAATTACAATGCTAAGACACAGCAGTAGGTTATCATGCTGTGACAGAAACACATGTTGATTAGCCAGCAAAATGAGAAGAATCATGAGAAAAAATGCATCCAACATGCACCTGGCCATCTGCACCTACATTTTGCAGGTTCCCAATCTCTCTTACTCTACGTTCAAAATTAAGTCATGAAAACTTACCTGCTTGACCAGTAGTAATACTGACAGCTGCAAAGAGCCTCTGGGAACGGCTCAAGTCAGAAACTCCATTTACAGCTTCAACTTCAAAAGTGTAGTTAGCATGAGCTAACAGGTCCATGACAGTGACATAGTTATCTACTAATCCAGTTTGCTGGGGCAAATATCCAATATTACTCCCACAGGGAACACATTCACCCTGCTCCCAGCTGCACCTCTTGCACAAAATTCGGTAGGTCACATCAGTTCTTCCCCCGTTGTCAGCAGGAGGACTCCACTCCAAACTCACAGTAGTTTGGTTGATGTTGAAAATGAGGTTCTGTGGTGCAGATGGAGGTCCTTTGTGACACAGAAAACAAAACACTAACTATACAGGATCAGTATGGGGCATTTAGCTAGCACTTTAATAACTGCGACAGGCTAGCTGAAGCATTTTTCTTCACATAAACATTTCATTACATTTACTACAACCTACATAAAAGCCTTCTTGAACTCACTTGGCAAGAGTTTTATTTATTTTCCATTAAAGAATCAGGATAACAATTGTCTGTATATTTACTGCAACTGACTTTGGCTATTTTTCCTCTATACAATTAAAAAGAACAGTCAGTGCACCTCAGAAATTGACTTTTATAGCATTCCTGGCATCGGGATTTCCTGCACTCACACATACTGTCCTTTTAAACTCACAGCACAAAATACATTTAGACTTTCCTTAATAAGTTCTGATATGATTTACAGCAGTATTTGGGTACAGCTTTGGATTTTGGAAACTCTCATTACCTGAATCACCAATCTGTGTACGTTAGTCTATTTACAGATGGAATGTTAAGCCATATCCCATTATAGTTTAATCAAAGCCCAAAACCACACAGGTTACTTTTCATTTTGCATTTTATTCATTGTGGTGTTGTATCAGGTTGGGCACATTGTCTGTGACAATTTTACAACTGCAGGAAAACCGTGCTTGCATTCCTCCTGTTACAACTAGTTATGTATTTGCCCAGCATTTCATCTGTCTCAAGGTTATTGTGGGCAAACATGAAAATTATATTGATGTTGATTCTATATTCACTGTGTACTTTTTCCCCATACCACTTCAAATTCATTTATCATTGTAAAACTAGTTTTCAAATACACTAAAGTCCAATATTAAGTACTACTGAGAACTAACTACAAATGGTTGTACCTGGTTGGCTAAGTAAAGTCTTTTACTATTAAATTGATGACTGACTCACTTGTGCATGCGACATATGGTGGATCAGAAGGCGCCCTATAATAGCTATCTTCACAATCACACCGTGAAGATCCTTCTCTGTCAGAAAAACTGTGAGTAGGACAGCGGGAGCACTGAAGATCTTGTGAAGATGATTTGTAGAACCCACGGCCACAAGCTAAAAAAGAAGAAAACAAATTCACATATAAAATTAGCATGTGCTTCTGTTCTGCTATCTTCTCCATCTTAGCATTAGCGCTGGCATTTGACCTCTTCATTCTTTCCTGCCCATGGCAGGGGGTCGGACTTGATGATCTGATTAGGTCCCTTCTGACCCTACCAACTATGAAACTAAGACTACATTTCCACAACATACATATTATCTTCATAAACTTACTGCAGCAAAAGCAAGCCATTATGCTTAGCCGGCTTATAGCAAAAAACCAATCAATTCCTTGTGCCCTTTACCTGATTTTGTGGTATTAGCAGTAAATGAAAACATAATTGCCTCAGCAGCAGAGTATTTTCACTCTCAAACCACAAGAAATACGACAAAAGAAGTAGTTCACTTCCTGGGCACATAGAAAACAAAGGAAGCTGTGGAACCTCAGTTAATAAAAATTAGCTAAACCCAGTGATGAAGCTGAGGAAAATGAGGAAAACACTATATTTTATATGGTGTGCCTCATTTTACCAGAATGCTACAATACTTGCTGACTGCAGAAAGTTGAACCAAGAAGATTGTGAGATGGAAACTAACAGGAAATGAAACAATGGCAAAGATAAGGTGCTATCACTGAAAATACCAAGGGTTCTCAAAGAAATAATGAGGGGCTATTAACTGAGGAATGTTTTTTTTCCTAGCTAAAATTGAGCTGGCAAAGTTTATTTTTCCCAAATCCGAATCTAGTATCCAAGAGCATACTCATTCATTAAAGTACCCACCACCTTGAAAAGGCTGAGTTGTCACTAGGGCTAGGGACAGACGTTCAAAAAGCCTGAGCCTGAGTTGATTTAATCTTTTCAAGTTAGTCTAACCTGGCTAGGCTGAATCACTTTGTAACTACACAGACATCCCAGAAATGCAGGCACATGCCTGCAGTGGCTTAGGCTAGAATCCAGGGGACGCAGCCCTCCCTTCCCTTGTACAGAACTGAGCTGATGGGGGGAGGGCGTGGCCAGGCTCCAGCAGGACGCTCTGATTAGCCCAGCAGGGAATTAATAACAGTGTGCATCACCCCTAACTCAGTGTTTATCACCCCATTAAGAAAACAACAGAGGGACATTACCAGCTACCTGTTGATTCTGCCTGTTGATTCAGCACAGACCATAACCAGTCTGTGGTCTGCTGGCTAATACACAGACACCTCTCTGCAAGGCAGAGGGGAGTGGGGGAGACACAGCAGGGAGGGGAGAGCAGGGGTCATAGCGGGGACCCTGACACAGGGAGGTAATGCTCAGGGGCAACCAACATGGGTTCACCGAGGGCAGGTCCTGCCTGGTTAACCTGGTTTCTTTTTATGATCAGGTCACCAAGTCCCTGGACGAGGGTGTCGGGGTGAATGTCATCTTCCTGGACTTTTAGAAGGCCTTTGACATGGTTTCCCACTACGCTCTCTTTAAAAAACTTGGTGACTGCAGCACTGATGCCTACACAATCAGATGGGTGGCAAATTGGTTAGATGGTCGCACCCAGAGAGTGGTGATGGATGGGTCATTTTCAGCCTGGAGGGATATGGGCAGTGGAGCCCCCCAGGGCTCAGTCGTGGGGCCTGTACTGTTTGACATCTGTACTGTTCAGTGATCTGGATGTGGGTGTGGAAAGCAGGCTGTCCAAATTCACTGACGACACCAAGTTGTGGGGCGAGGTGGGCATGCTGGAGGGGAGGGGCAGAATCCAGCTAGATCTAGACAGGTTACAGACGTGGGTGGATGAGAATAGGATGGAATTTAATGCAGACAAGTGCAAGGTAGTGCATCTAGGGAGAAGGAATCAGCAACACACCTATAGGCTGAGGAACACCCTTCTTGTCAACATGGCAGAAACGGATCTTGGAGTCATTGCTGACTCCAGGATGAACATGAGCTGCCAATGCAAGGAAGCGGTAAGGCTAACCACACCTTGTCGTGCATCTACAGATGCATCACAAGTAAGTCCAGGGAGGTGATCCTTCCCCTTTCCGGCACTGGTCAGGCCAATGGAGTCAGTTAGAGTACTGTGTCCAGTTCTGGGCACCACACTTCAAGAGGGATGTGGCTACCATTGAGAGGGTGCAGAGGAGGGCCACTTGCATGGTCAAGGGGCAGTACTGTGTCCAGTTCTGGGCACCATACTTCAAGAGGGATGTGGCTACCATTGAGAGGGTGCAGAGGAGGGCCACTTGCATGGTCAAGGGGCAGCAGGGCAGGCCCTACGAAGAGAGGCTAAAGGGCCTGAACCTATTCAGCCTCCACAAAAGAAGACTGAGAGAGGATCTGGTGGTGGTTTACAAACCACAGGGGGGACCAGCGGGAACTGGGGGAGGTTCTGTTCCCCCGGGCACCACCTGGGGTTACTAGGAATAACGGCCACAAGTTGTTAAGAGAGAAGGTTCAGGTGGGACATCAGGAGACATTACTTTACAGTTAGGGCTGTGAGGCTCTGGAATGAACTCCCAAGGGAGGTGGTACTCTCTCCTACCTTGGGGGGTGGGGGTTTCAAGAGATGGCTGGACAGATATTTGGCTGGGGTGATATGACCCCGGAACCCGTTCCTGCCCAGGGCAGGGGGTCGGACCTGATGATCTGTTTAGGTCCCTTCCAACCCTAAGTACTATGATACTATGAGACTTAGTCACTGCTTCACAAGGAGTGGTGAGGGGGAAAGGGGTGAGCAGCCTGCACTCCCTGCCAGAGCTGCAGCCAGGAAGCAGAGGGGAGGGGCCAGCCCTGCTGTGAAGCAGAGAGCCCCACCCAGCCCAAAGAGCATGATGGGATGCTGGGGGACTCTGATTTAATTTAAACCAACAAGGGGTCTGGGCATTGCATAAACCGGCTTGACCCAAATCAGTTAAGTCTGATACTACATTCAACCAGGTTTATCTCAAACCGGTTTCAGCCATTTTCAAACTGGTTTATGTGCACTGAACATCTGTTCTGTTACAGGTTTAAACCAGTTTCTGGTCACTTAAACTGTTTTGTGTGTAATGTCTGTCCCTGGCCTAGCTGTCCAAGAGAAGACACTAACAGAGGCAAACTATGAGAGTCAGTGAACATGATGCAGCAGCAATTTGCTTCTCCAGCTCCAGGGATGTGGTAACTGGACAGGATAGGATTTACAAAGCTTCTAAAGGAAGATTAAGATATAGGTGAGGGGAAACACATTTATAGCCCTTTATTGTTTTTTATCCTTTGGCTTGGAACCTTTGAGTTCCAAGCCAAATAATGCTTTGTTTTAAAGAAGCTGTTGTTGAATCACTTTAATCAGCTACAATCCTGGAAGGAAAGAGCTTACTTGTGCAAAACATATTTGGGCCAGTTTGGTAACAAGATTTGTGAGCAAAAGGGCTGCAACCAAGAGACTCTATGGAAAGATGACTGACTGGAAGACAGGGGGTGTGCCAAAAGCAGCAAACATAATACAACATAACTTCAAAACTAATGGTAATAAAGCTATTTCTAAAGAGATGATATAGAGAGGGACTAATAAAATAGTGCGGCTCACCTCAAACTGACAGGAACAATGCTGATTTACATTAGTTAAGAGCCTGACCTTATACGTACTTATCTGAGGGTGCAAATGTACCCACAGGCAAGTTAACTCAGCAAACATGCCAGTGCACTGAATATCTGGCAAGCACACAACAGGAAGTATAGATGCAAGTGTAGCACTAAGGATATAGAAATCCAGACAATTTACCATAGGGTAAAAGAGATGGACAATTACCACAAATCAATTATTTGATATTAGCAACCCACTTACATGCTCCTACCTCACAGTAAATGAAACCTAACCAACAGTAATTTAGCTCTCAATGAATGAAGGTTATGTACATTAATACACGGCAGCTGAAACACAGGAAAGCTAAATCTCCTTTCAGCCTATATCTGTATATCCATACATACTGTTTTGTTTTGGTTTGTTTTTTTCATATATGTACATAAAAAGGCTTGATTGTGGCGTTTAGCTACATTTTATCAGGAGGAGACACAATCCCTCACAAAGCTCACCAGTGCCAGCATGAGAAAGGGACCTACCCCGTTGTCTAAGTATTTCAGGATACACTCAGAGGCCACGTCCACAAGAGCACGGACATTTGTTTCCCTGGGAAACAGCTTGTGCCGCTGTTGCTTGTCCCTGGAGAATACCCATGACACATGCCCTCTGGTGTGTGGCAGGTTACCCTGGGTGAGATAGGAGAGGCTGAAGCCAGCAACTGTGCTGGCTTCAGCAGCCTTACCTGGGGTCCTGTGGGCCTCACAGGGCTGTAGCCACAATGGTCCTGCAGCTGGGAGCCTGGGTGGCACGTAGAGCGTGGCTCTGGCTAGCCAGGCTCTGGTTTTGGGTGGCAGGCACTGCCACCATGTGCGCTGCCACACCTTTTTCAGTGTGGGATTTTTTGACACCAGGATCTCTGCAAACAGGTCTGTGGCACCACATACTGCACATCTATGCTCATCTGAACGCAGCCAGAAAGAACATTTCAAGGACAATTGTAACTGCCTGTAGCAGGCTCCTTTGGCAATCACAAATTGACCAATATGCAGGGTAGGCAGTTAATCCTTCTCACCCATCTCAACCACTGTCAGTGCTTTGCTATTAAGTCCTATTAATTTCAAGGTTGCTATTAGAGGCAAGATGTTCTGAGTAGCAATGTAAAGACTCCTAATGAGATGCAAACATTGAGAGCAGACTGTTCCCACACCAATTAGCCAGCTTAAATTTGCTCAAGAGATGCCTTTAATATTGAAATCAGTGCGATTTGGCAAATGGCTATTGCTATTTGTATGATCTAAATAGCTACCTGCCTCACCTGCCAGTGTCTCAAATGGCCTATACTCAATGTCCTTTATATTGGCAAAGGATACAAAGCAGAAACTGGCTCACTGTATCCCCAACTCCCACCATTTCAAGGCTAAAGACATGGTGAAGTAGGAACCCATGGTTAAGTAGGAACATGTATCTGTTATATTCTTGCA